ACTTAGTCAGAAAAATTGATAGATCGAAATAATCAATTATTTGTATACAATGTCTAAAAAAATTGGCTTAACTTGGTGTATTTAGTATTATTGACCTCCCACACGAGCTCAACACGCTTCTCAAGTCAAGCAAGATTATGATTGTGCACGTGGCGTTAGCCTATCATGCAATGCAAAATAAATTTGAATTTGATTACTTGAAATTACTAAGAATTGTCTAGAAATATTACTTGATTTCTTTTTTGGATGAATAGTTGAATGATTTCTGTTATTTTGAATATCACAAACTTCACAGATAGTCTCAAGAAAATCAGATTTAGATTGAATGATTTAGAATATCCTGTAAACGCAGACGGGAACGGAAACAGAATGGCGACAGAAACTTTATTAGTCAAAGAGGACACTGACAATTAGTCAAATGAGTGACTAGATTGAGAATGATTGATTATTAGGGCGATTAGTTATCGGCCTAGTCTCAAGATGGCCGCCAAAGTTTCTGTCAGCTGGCAATTCAAACTTGAGAATTAATTAATTTTCAACAAATTTTATTAATTAAAAAAAAAAAAACAATTATTTTTTTTGATTGTATCTAATGAGAGTTTCTCTTAATTTCAATTAAAAATGAATTGGTTCCTATTAGAAATTCGGATATAGGAAAAATTTATATTTATTATCAAGAGTGATCTGCTCGCCACTCGCGCCAAGTCCACGTCCCACTTTCTGTTTCTCACTCTTTTTCACATTATCTCTCTCTCTCGCACTCCCTCATGACAGCGCGCAATAGCAGACACTCTATACAAGAAATTTTACCCTCCCCTTTTTCTCTCAATTCTATTTTTTCTATTAACTTTTAAAGTACAGCACATACGCATAATTTATCAATAGATTTGCCATACGAATCATCTATGAGCTTTTATTTGCAGCATTAATCATAATTTTTAATCTATTTATTAAAAAGAGATTCATCCGTAAAGATTGAAAGTCTGAACTTTTCTGAAAAATATTCGACAAAAGTCAAGATTCTCAGATTTCTTGATTTGGCAACTCTACATCAATAGACTACATATGAAAAAAAAAATCTATCCGCCATATTGTATTTTGTCCGCAGCCAGAAATTTACAATTTCAAACTTTTCAAGTTGGTAATCGGACATACGTCTAGAGTAGCGGTAGATACTCGGCGCCAAGTGCACATTCACCTCCTTTCTTTCTCTCTCTGTTTTTCACTAGTGCGCTCTTTCCCCCATGAGCGCCGAGGCAACCGACTACTCTATACACGAAAAATTTTGTGTGACGTAATCAACGCATCTTTATATGTAAATATCTTTACAATTATTACATATAATGCTTTCATATTTGATGGGTAGTTATCTTATATCATGAGCTTCCGATCAACCGTTAAACGAGCATTTTTTGTTGATTATTGACAGAGTTATAAATTAGCCACGCCCCTAACAGCGATATTTCTACTATTCAAGATTTTTTTGCTTACTTTTTCACTCTACTTCATCGAGCGTTCTATCATATGTTATCTCTTACTGAATGTGTCTTTTGTCACTCACTTTCACGTTAGAGTTCCTACAGTACCCTCTTTCTTGCCTTATGTATTGTTATCACTCTCTTTTACCTTAACTTTGTGATGTTTTCTTCTCTCTTGCCTAACAAAGAGATATTTATGTTCTAAAAAATGAAGAATGTTTCCCGCGTGTTGCATATCGATTTAAATGATTTTTTTTGGAATTATTGATAAAAAAATTTTTTCAACAATTAAATGAAGTAATAATTATTTGTTGAATGATTATAACAAAATAATACTCGTATTATTGGCTTTTTTTTCAATAATAAAAAAGCAAAAAATACACCTATGTAGTATAGGAAAAAGCTGAAATAATTATAAATTATGTTCTTATAAAAACATGTTTCTTGCAGAAAAATTCTATGAATGCATATAAAATCCCAATTTATCCATAAAATAATTTGTACATTCCTATCTTCTGTCAATGTTACTAGTCTTTTTTAGAAATGTATTCGTAGGGTAACTACTGTTTCTTGGAATGATAGTCATTTCAGTAACAGCATTCTAAACTCGTAATGATTGTGTAACTTCTTTTATTAATGTGTCTAGGTCAAAAATTTTGATTTTCAGAAATTAAAAAAAAAATATTTAAATAAAATTAAATTGTTGTCGTCGTAGCAATCTTACAGTGAGTTTAAAGAAGGAATTTCAGGCAATCATAGGGACTGGTGATAGAAGTGAAACTTAAAACTATCATATAACAATAGTTTGTTTTTGAATTTTTTGTAGTATGAAGAATTGAAAATTTATAATTTGTCAATTGAACTTATTGGTATTAGTCCACGTTTCAATATCTATCATAGCTATAGACATACTATTAACGTTACCATATCGGTAACGCTGATGGTTTGGTGATGTGAACTTACAAGTTTGTCTCCTAGTAAAAATTGCCCCATTGCGCCTAAAGAAGTTTTCACTTTAAAAAGGAGTAAAATCCGAACAAAACAGGCATCTACGAATGCCTGTAAAAATTGGCGCCAAGTCCACATTCATGTAAAACTAGAATAAATAAAAAAAAGGTACGATCAAAAAAATATGTGATATCAAGTAAAACGCCAAGTTAGCCGCGTCTTTTTTCATAATCTTTTTAAACTAGTAACGTACTGTTGACTTATGAAATTTAAGTTAATTTTTAATTACAAAAAAAAATTCTCTTCAAAATCAAAAAACTATGGAACTTGGCCCATTTTTTTAAGATTCTCTGAACAGTTCCATGTATTATAGTTCTTCGTACATAATGACATTTGAAACTGGATTGGGCAGACTTTAAAGCAAAATTGGGCCAAGTTCCACAGATAAAGTATGAAGTATTTTAAAAATAGAACATCATCAAAATTGGGCCAAGTCATCAACTTTTTCACAAATAAATATTTTTTTTCGGTTAATTTAAATCACTCCAAAAATTGCTGTTAAATCTTAAAATTTTATTCGAAGAATATTCTTGTAAATAAGATGAAAATGATTTTTAAAAAGTCCTTAGTTTTTCATTATCAATTGGAAGCAAAAAAAGTCTATTCCATTTAAAAAATGACTTGGCATTCAATGTGATTACAATTATTTTTGGTATCCAAACATTCCAATAGTCTATCACTTATAAATGTTGTTATATCAGAGTCACTTAGGACGTGGACTTGGCGCAAAGTTTTACCGACATCTGGTAAAGTTGGTTTTAGTAGGATTATCTTTCTATCAGGAAGTTATTAAAATTGGGTCGATTGGTAAAATTTCAATTTTTATTATACCTTCACATTTCAAGATATTTGGAAGCATACTGACCAATGTTTTGATCGATGTATGTATGTATGTATGCATGTATATTGTACATTGTACATATATTAGCCTTCTTTTTTGTTTTTTGCACACATGTAGCAGGCGTCATCAGAAAGGTTAAGGGCTACTTTTTGTTCATGTAACTTATTTATAACAGTTGTATTTGTTACAAAGAATAAAAAACGGATTCTATGCAACATATTGGAATTCCATCCAGACGTAATTTTTTCTTTCACTAAAATACAGATACAAACTGTGTGAATTGAATAGAAACCTATGCCTTTTGTTTGTAACAATTGAATTTGTTAAAAACAATTAATAACGAAAGCTATGCAGGATAATTGGGTTTTTTCAACTAATAATTTTTTTTGCTGGAATTAAATCACAAACTATGTAAAATGTATGAAAGCATATTCCTTTAGTTTACAACAATTGAATTTTCTATGAACAACAAAAAACGGGTTCTATTCTGTATGTTTGAGTTTTTTCAACAAGAATTTTCTTCTTCTACTCGAATAAAGTAATTTACCATGTCTAATGATTGGAAACCTATTCCTTTAGTTATAAAATGTTCTGACGAGAAAATGGCGTTCGCGCCAGAAAGGAAAAGAAAAAAAAGAGAAATAGAAAAGAAATTTCCAGAAATTTGAATTTTTATGAGAACTATATGCTTAAAGAAAAGCGCGGGAAATCTAAAATTTTTAAGTATAGTAAATCTTTCTTTCTCTGTTACATTTTATAAATTTAGTAGGGAAAAGTCCGTAAAAATATGTAAAAAGTACCGGAATAAACCAGGGTACTCAGGAGGAGGTTACCAATCTGCCGTATATGTCTGTACGTTGGGGTTAATCTCTGAAACCGACATTTCAATTGCAATCAAATTTCGCAAAAATGTAAAGGGCATTATGTGGAAGGTTATAGGCTCCTTTTTGTTCATAGAAATTATTTCTCACAATTTAATTAGTTATAAATAATAGAAAACGGGATCTTTTCAATATATTTGAACTATTTCAACGCGTGATTTTTTCCTTTGCTCAAATTAAGTAACAAACCATGTAAAATGAAAACGTAATTTCTTTAATATAACAATCGAATTTGTTATAAACAATAGAAGATAAAATCTATTTGATAAATTTGAGTTTTTTTAACCTGATTATACACATAACGTGGACGAAGTCACGGGAATCTGCTTGTTGTTGCACGGCAAATCCCAGGATTTCACAAGCATGTTAAAATAACACGCGTGAAGTGAATTCAATGTAAAATGCCCATTAACAAACTATGCATGATTTTTAGACACTTCTTACACGTTTCGTAGTGTGTGAAAAATCTGTAGGTTCTTTATGACATCTAACATTGAAGAGACTTAGCGTTTTAAAAGTGTCTACAATTTGGATTTGCGGAGTGTATACAATTACATCAAATTTTATAGAGTAGGATCTAACAACTCAAATAATTTTGTATATAACATTGTATATGAACATAAATCTTTGTTTAGAACTCAATGGAAAGTATTTTAGAAAATGCTTTTCTTATTTCATCTCGTCATTAATTATTTAAATTACAAAAAATATCAGTATAAGTTCGACTAATTCATTCTAAGCAGTTGATCATGAGTATATTCTTTATTAATCTATTTTTAAAATATTTTCCAGGATTTGTAAAATCTGTTCAAGAGATATTATCGATAAAAATATATTTCACATCCAATTGGAATGTCGCTAGCTGCAGGTAACAATATCAATTATATCCTAAGTCAACTTAAACATATGGCCAATTCGACCACCATTATTTAACTAGCTTGGCATTTAAGTAATTATATTAAAAAATAGAACATCAACTATCAATAATTGTGCAGAAACATCAATATACATCGATTTGCAATGTTCATCAACTACGATTGATGTTATTCAAAAATAGTTAATTAAGGAAGTTTTCGTGCTACAATATAGTCCAAAAGTTATTGTAAGGTGTGAGATAATTTAATGCAATAATGTATTTATAATTTTGATTGTACTCCAAAACATTTTGAATGAGTCTGTACTCATATATACTCATACATTCAAAAAATGACTACACAGATAAACTATTACTATTATACTTCTGATCGTGCAACACTGTATGATATATTTCAAAATCCCGATAGATGGTGGAATGAAAGATTTCTTCAATATGACATTTAAATGGTTATGTATGACACAAATTCTCTGATTTTTATTGTAATAACATTAAAAATATACAGAAAACTGTTGTTATTGTATTTTGAGAATATTTGTATAACGATTGTTCGCGATTCAGGAGTTCTTTATTAATATCTGTCGAGAAATTTAGTCAATCTAAATAAAAAACTATGATGGAAGAGGGGTAGTGTGTATGAAGCATTGGCCAAACCTCACAAAATAACAAACTTCAATAATTATTATCTCGTCAACTAGACAGACGAAATTATTTAAATCGTGGAATTAGATAAATATTACTGTGATAAACTTAATCAATTTTTATCGACAAAAATATTGCACGATAACTACCTTAAGTTAAAGTGTTGAAGTTTTACATAAATGTGAATTATTATGTGCTATCTGTACTTTAATCTCAAGTTAGTGACAAAATAATGGTTCAATTGGCTTAGAAAAGATTGAGGCTATATATATAACACTAACTGTTACTTGCCCTCTTCGCTGAGCATAAGATGGAATACGATTGTGGAACTTAGATGTCAATAAATTTGCTTGATTTTATGATGAAAATAAACATGAATCTAAAATTATAATATAGTGATTTTTGTATGTAATGTATAACTGACATCAGAATGCTTTTCTACAGGTATTTTAGATGAATTATGTACTGTTCAGTTTTGTAGTTCATCAATTTCTTAAATTTTCAAAATAGCTGAATTCTTATGAATTATATATTCTCCTTTGAATAATGTCCTATTGAAATCAACATTTCCATCATTTTTATAGGACATTTTTAATTCAAACTTTCTTGTTTTCAAAATAAAAAAGAAACTGGTTTACTGGACTCATAGTATAGTATAAAATGCACTAATATAACATAGAAAATTATTAAATCTTTCAACGTGATTTATGTTGCGTTGAACGATTTCTTTAGAGAAAAGTATAAAACACATTTTTGCTTTAAATAAGACATTCTTAGTTCATCTTTTAGAATTTACATTATTTAGGTTTTAATCTTGATTTATTTACATTACCTCCGTGATATTGTGATTAATATTCCTGAAGGATTTACGGAATATTTATTATAACCAATAATTAGCTATTGAATTTACTATGAGACAATTCCTTCAATTTTTCATCAGCACATTAATATTAGTTATTTCATTGTCCCGATGCTAACAATTTCAGACATTTTTTTAAGAAATACAGTAGAATCCCTCTAATGGTGCTCTCTCGCTAATGTTGACAGTTCAATCCCGTTACTGTTAATTTCATTTTCCCCCACTACGATGTTTTACCGTTCAATAAAATTCTACTTTGACGACGCTTTTCAAGCGTTAGCTATTTCATTGATGACGTCAGCACAAGTCGCAATGAATCTTTATCGCCGGCTGAAATAGTTGGACAGTCAATCAATAATGACAAAAAATTAAGTTTTATTTTTTCCCAACGTTCAGATGGAATTAATTTACAAAAATTTTAGAAGAACAATCCATTGTTAAAAAAAAAGATCAGTGGAATCCAGAATTGTTCGAGAGTATTTTTGTGCTCCGAATGAAATCATACCTATTGGATACTAACACCTATTAAATTCTGATAAATATTCTACTCCTCTCTCTTTCTCTCTCTCTCTCTCTTTGTGAGTACACGTACACGTTTATCTTTCTTGCTCTATCTCTTTTGCGCCTTTTTTGCTGTTTCTTTCGCCTTCGGGCTTTTTGGTTGCAGATTACGCCTACTATTTGTTGCGGTTTACAATACGGCCTAATAATTTCTGTACGGGATTGCTTGGTGACTGCATATTTTTGTGGAATTGATAGCTCCAATCCCCCCTCGCCTGCAAGATAGCTCTTGTACAGCTGTGTCGCGTGAGCTGAAGAACCTTGCTCTAATTGAATTCACTAAAATGCCATCCTCGCTTGCTGTGCCTTCTGATGTACTGAATTAATACTTTATTAGTATCTCCACTTTCTGCGATACCACGACTGTTCTCCACGAAGATCACTTTTTCGAGTGTAAATGAAGATCTAGTCCAGCTAGCCATCAAGTCCATCAAATCTAACGAAGCTGGGTGTGACGGCATTCCTGAGTAGATGGTGACTATGACCCTTCCTGCGTACGCATGTACGCAATTGTCAACTTTTTTGTAACTACAGTTAATCGGTCATTTGACCAAAATGAGTTTTCTGATTACGGGAAGCGCGCGCTAGTTGTTCCAATAAACCAAGTCTCGCACTCTCTACTGCTGGCTAAACTTGCTGTGTTGGGCTTCTCTGAGGACGCTCTTTGCTGGATGCGCTCATATTTGGTTAACAGGCGCCAGGCTGTGAGGTCCCCCAATGGCTCCTTGACTTTTTTTTTACCGACAACTGCAGGTGTTCCTCAAAGATCCATTGTTGGTCCCCTCCTGTTTTCTCTATTTGTAAATGATATTGGTACTTACATCACTGAGTCGAAGAGGCTGCTATACGCTGATGACTTGCAGATCTATCGCAGCTGTGCTCCATCTGAGATCTCGGATTGCATACACAGTCTGAATGCTGACATCGCCAGAATATCCAACTGGGCTATAGTCAATAAGCTCCAGCTGAACATCTCGAAAACTAAAGCAATCATCTTTGGCACCGGAAGATACATCAACAACCTTGATATCTTTACTATTCCTACTTTGGGGTGTGAAGGGTCCAGTATTGCTGTAGTCTCAAGTATTCGTAACCTTGGTGTATATCTTGATTCCAAGCTTACATTCTCTGAGCATGAGAAGCATGTGGTTGGTAAAGTCAATGCAGCATTCCACAGTCTTTACTCTCTTCGAAAACATACTGACCACGTATTACGTACGACATCTCACATCTATTACTGCTTAGTAGTCTTGCGAAGAGTGGGCACAGTAGCTGATACCAAGCTCAATAAAGGGGTAAGGTTTATTACTGGCCTCTCTCGAGATGCTCCTGTCTCTGAGGCAAGACGTAAACTTGGCTTGCTCACGGTATCTAGATATCGCAGACTTTTTCTTGGCTGTATCACTTATCAGGCAATATCTAGTCGTCTTCCTAGCTATCTGTCTGAGCTGCTGTTGCAACGCATTACCACTAGACCTTTCAGGAACTAAGTCAATCAGCTGCAACTAGTTGTTCCTAACTATCGCACTGATGTTTTTGGAGTGGCTTTCGCAGTTGCTGGCCCGCAATTATGGAATGAGCTACCTGACGTAGTTGAGAATCAGCCCTCACTACCGTCATTTAAACACATGCTGCGTCGCTGGCTGATTGAGCAAGACCTGGCCTCCGCCTTGGATCGTCCCTAATGGACTTGCTATACTCGTCCCTAATGGACTTGCTATACTCGTCCTCTTTTTTCCTTTATCATCTTATTGCTATCTTATTATTTAGTTTTTTTCTTCTACATTTATTCTAAACTTTTTATCTTATATGGTAACATGTACTGACTGAGAGTGTAAATGGCTGTAACATTTTCTGAGCTATTATTCTACGCCGGACCAAAATTTACTCCTCTATATCTATTATTATTTTTCTGTTGCATGTAACACTTTCGTTTAACTATCTCAACAATACATACTATTATCCATCTATCTCTCTTCACACAGTTACAAACTGCATATCATTTTTTTCTTCTATCATCAGACGGCTCAAAAAACAATTAGTTATTTTACTTAAAGTATTTTTTTTTTTCTTATAAAACACAATAATAGGTTTTACATCGGTAGATATTGTAAAATATTTGTATGTCGCCATCTAATGACCATTAGACTAACGACAGTTTGTTAGTTAACAACGATTGCTTGACGATTAGATTGTTTATAGCATGAGGGGAGAGTTTGTTTATCTCCAGTTTTTGTCTGAGACTTGAGTTGACCGCACGGATTCTTTCTTTTAATTAATTGCTGTCAATCATTAATAAACATTTTAATTAATTTACTAATTTTCCGAAGTTGTTATTGAGTCTTATTTTACATTGGTGTCAGGAAGTGGTTCGTTTCGCGTGCCGTGAATATTTTTGTTGGTGATTTCTGGAAAAATATTTTAGAAATCATGCCAAAGAGTCCAAGTCGGAGACAAACTTGAGCTGGAAGGAGAACTCAATATGCTGATTGTGTCGAAGACGGTAGTAATGGAGGACTTTTAGCTTTAGAGATGAGATTGAATCGTTTGAAAGAAAGACTAAATCGTGATCAGATTCGTTTTGAAGAAGGTCAAAGAGAGACTCGAAATTTATTTGAAGAGATAAAAAATTTAATTAATAATAATAATAATAATAATAATAATAATAATAATAATAATAAAAAAGCATATCAGGCAGCGCAGAACCTCGGCTCAGTTTTCGACCCTAGCAGCCCAGACGATCTAAGGCTTTTGCAATTGACCAGAGGGCAGCGAAAGGTCGATATAAAAACAACCGAGCAGTTAAAACTGCTCGACGAACATGTGGCAAAGTCCTTACATGGTGTGTTTTATTGTCATCTCGAAACACAGGACTTGTCACACCAGCTGACTTTCCAATACCTTAAGTCAGCTGGCTTGTTCTCTGAGACCG